CGCGACACTGAGGGTTGTGATCCGTTGCCGGTCACGAAAAAAGACAAAAAGGATAAAAAATAATAATAAAAAAAATAATTTTAAAAAATTTTTTAAATGTATGTATGAAATGCAATTTGTGTTCAACCTTAATAATATATGTTTAATTGTAATGTTTATTTTACCAACATTTATCCTTCTAAGAAATATCATGCCTTAAAAAAAGACAAAGAAAAACCATTCAATATTCAAAAAAAAATAAGTTCCATTTGAAACAAAGTCTCACATATCTGTTTGAAATTAATTGTATTTTGTGTCAAATAAGAAATAAATTTCAGGAATGGGCTGAATATAAAGCAATTTCTGATGCTACTGACTATTTACTTGTAGTCCTGAACAAGTTATATCAACAACGGTGACTCAGATTCTAAAAATAAAGTTGGCCACATGACAACTATCTAATGAAGTTATTTTATGTGTAGTTAACTTAGTGCCCTTAACCTCCCAGAGAAAAATAGGGTTTTGGCAAGTCTAATGTAGTTAAGAACATAGGTTTCAGAATCCAAGTATGTGGGTGCAAGACCTGGTTTCATCACTTATCTCTGCATGCTTGGTTACTTAACCTATCCTAGCCTCTGTTTCCTCATATATAAAATGAAGGTAGTAATAATACTTACCTTATAAGGTTGTGGTTATAGGGGTTTGTAAGAATTAAATGAGACCATCCATGGGAGGTATGTATGCCTGGTATATAGAGCCCCTTAGTAAATTTTTGCTCTTATTGTGATTGTTTTGGGAATAGTAGTGGTAANTCTCTGCATGCTTGGTTACTTAACCTATCCTAGCCTCTGTTTCCTCATATATAAAATGAAGATAGTAATAATACTTACCTTATAAGGTTGTGGTTATAGGGGTTTGTAAGAATTAAATGAGACCGTCCATGGGAGGTATGTATGCCTGGTATATAGAGCCCCTTAGTAAATTTTTGCTCTTATTGTGATTGTTTTGGGAATAGTAGTGGTAATGTGTTTCCACATGTTCTGATGTGCTTTCATCTTGCATTATCTTATGAATAGATACTGGAAACCAAAATGGAGAAAGTGATGACAAGACTAAGAATGCTGAGAGAAGCTATTTAAATATTTTACCTGGTAACTATTATTTTATTTTAAATTACTGTTTTCTTATAATCACATACATTAAAATCATAGATCTGAAACATAAATTCTTATGGTATACATTATAAAATGTTTGTTAGTATATCACTTTGAAAAAACATTTTGTATCTGTATAGTACACTTTCACAGATATTCTCCAATGTACATATTTTTATACTAGTACTTTTTTAAGATCCATATGAGAGAAATTGCTCAAGAAGTTGCACAAGTTATATCGTTATTTGTTGCTATTTCAAATTTCCTCTTATACTTTGTTTCTTAGTTCTTAAGAAAGGAACCAAGAAATAAGTTTTAATCAAATTAAACAATAGTACAGAGATGTAAACAGTCAAATTCATGCAAAGAACATGGGTCATCTGATTTCGAATCTTATTTCCATTTCCCCTTGCATTTTCCTGCTTTCCATTTCCTTTATTTCCTTTATTACTCTTGGATATGTTATTTAACAACTGGAAATTCAGTCTCTTGATCCTCCTTATGAGTGAATTCACTGTCATGACCCTTAATAGTGCTTGTATGACAGGGCATAACAAGATTGGCCTATCTGTGTGCATTATGTGTATAAAGTCTTTTAAACTAATTGGTAAGTTTTACAATTTCAGAAATAGCCATCTCTTGATAGTTCTTTGTTCTCCTTTAAGGGAGTTTCCTCACATTTCCTTCCCCAGGTCTTCAACATATAGGTCACATTACATTTAATCTAAGTAAATTTCATACCCATTTCTGGTATTCATCTTGTCAGGCCCAGTCAGCTAGTTTGTGGTCATCGGCCTCTGAGTTTCCTTCCACCTTCAGATATCCTACTTTAGTGGATAATGTTAGAATCACCACATGCTGTTTTCTTCACTTTGTGGAACAGGAAACCTTCCTCCTCTCCATCTAAAAATACCTTCAATGAAGGATTTATTGTATTTCTCTTCATAGATCCATAATTTAAATCATCCATATTTTGTGGCTTTCTTAAAATGTGCTAATCTTTTTACTATTCTGGAGGTACCAATGTCTGTTTTGTTTCTTCTTTAACTTAACTCTTTATTGTTATATGTATTTCCTTCTTTACTCTTCTTTGGAAAAAGCCTGTAGGTTACTATTCTCATTATTACCACCAAATCAGGAGGGTATGTCATAAGTCTGAGTTAGAAAA